CAAAAAGTTTGGTAGCAATATACATGTAGTCATAGCTGGCCTGACAAATACATATTCACAGTATGTGACAACATTCGAAGAGTACCAGATACAGAGATATGAGGTAAGTTTGGTAATAGTAATACGAGTATAAAATCTGCATGGTTTTTTAACTTTTTTTGGGTGAAAAGGATATCTTTGCAAAAATTAGACGATAGCCTTGCAGATAATGTGTGGTTTTGGGAGATTCTGACGTCATACCTCTCCATATATTTTCTGTTAGGGAAACAAAATATTGAGACTAGAATATTTATGAAAAAAAATTATGAAAAGTTGCTTAGAACACAAGGGTTTTGGAGTATGATTAACCGAGTAAAAAACAACCTATAGCCAAATGAATAAGGCCGATCAAAAACCAACATATAACCAAATGAAAGAAAATGTGATTTTTTTTTCTTACTTTCTGACATTTTAACTCGACATTCCTCGTCCAAATGGATGAACATCATGTGTCATTTGTTATTCATTTCAACTCTACTTATTGCCTATAAAATTCATTTTATTCTTCTTCTGACATTTCAAAGCCATACTATAGAATTAAGTCAAATATCGTGTTCCATTCCAGAATATGTTAAAACCACACAATATTTGCAATTAGTAAACAGGCAACATACTTTTCTACCATGACCATGAATTCCTCGTTCTATTTTTCAGAAATTCTCAGGGTGTGTTTGTGTATAACGTAACTCAATCTATACTCGATTCATATTCTAAATCTAACTCAACCCCACTATCTTCAATATTATAAATACAATTAACTAATATCAACTAATTATTCTTATACATCACATCAACTTTAATTAACTATTCATCCACTTACATAATTTTAACTAACCATCACTTATCACATCTCCCCTACTTTTAAATCAAATCAACTTTAAATATTTTATTTTAAATATTATTGTAGTATTAACTCAAAACTCCCACTAACAACTAAATATACCATTTTTTTTAAAAAAATTAATCATGGTTAACAAAAAAAAAACTCATTTTAGGTGGATATATTTGTATACAAATACGCTTTTTTGGCGAATCATATAAATACACTTCTCAATCTCTAACCTATGGGACTCTCGATTAACTTCCAGGGCGCCTCCACTCTGTATGGCCCACACACTCTCAGTGGCTACATACAGGAATTCAAGAAGCTTGCATCAGCCCTCGTCAGCGGCCAGCCTGTTGAGCCGGGCCCACAACCCCCCGATCTCTTAGACAAGCAGATCAGCCTTCTCAGCCCAGTCGTGATGGATGCAACTCCAATCGGCGTGAATTTCGGTGATGTCAGCTTAGACGTGCCCCAAAATTCAACCTTCAAAAGAGGCGAAAATGTGACCGTCGTTTTCTGGTCAGCCTGCCCGAGGAATGACCTCATGACTGAAGGCACGTTTGCATTGGTGGAGATTTTCAAAAAGAAGGACACTTGGCTGCCCGTTTATGATGACGATGATTTTTGCCTTCGGTTTAAGTGGTGGAGACCTTCGAAACTCAGTGCCAGGAGCTATGCAGCGATCGAGTGGCTAATACCAAGAGAAGCTGAGCTGGGTATTTACAGAATTAGGCATTTTGGTGCTGCGAAGCACCTTTTGGGACCGATTAAGCATTTTAAAGGTTCGTCTAGTGCTTTTGTGGTGGCATGAGCGACAGAATTTTACTAACATGGATGTGTAGTGTTGGCATCTTGTGATATTTATAGGGACGATTGATCGTCTTTGGTCTGTGTATATAAATTAAAATCGACGGTCTTTATGTGATTATGTCTCCCCAGGCCCTGTCTCCCCAGGCCCCAGCTTAGCTATTTTAAGTTAACACTTAACACACTTGCTTTACGCATTTGAGATGATATATGAGATGTTCAGTTTTAATCACTTGTTATAAAAGGTTTTGTACTTATGATCTATTTCATTATGAAAACAAAAAAGAAGAAGATAATAATAACACATGAATTGAAGTAGTGAACATGTTGGAAATGTTGACCGTTAGCAGCGAAATTATGAAAAGGTTAATAAATTCGATTTTCTTTTTTTTTTTTTTGGAAACAACAGAAACTATCATAATTACATCTAGAAGAAGCCAAATAGTTGAAACATTAGGTGTAAAGTTGAGTCTAGTGAGAGGCCTATAGCCTACAAACTATCATAATTACATCTAGAAGTAACCAAATATTTGAAAACATTAGGTGTAAAGTTGAGTCTAGTGAGAGGCCTGACCCGTCGCCTATAACATACACTAGAAACACAGAACATACTCACAACAAAAACTACAACTTTTACAAGTGGAGAAAACACATTCCAAAATAGGAGAAACACGAAACTCAAATTGATTTCACGGTACTCAAACGGTTTTGAAACCCATCAAAGTTTAACAAAAGGGAAAAAAACAAAAGGGAAAAAAGTGAAGCAAGTATGATGAAGTATGATCTCAAAACTTAGATTGAGGTAGTAAAAAATAAATACACGTTTTATTTAAACTGTTTCTCAAACTCGTTCAATCTTTGATACAAGTAAAATCTTACACTTATATTTTCCCAACATATCGGAGATTTATTTTGAAGTCGCAATTCTCTCCGGACAACATTATACGGATCCAACATTATTATTTTGTGTATTAAGTATATTAATACATAATTTTGACAAAATATATATTAATTAATATTATTAAATTTTTAATATAATTTTACAAATTTAAATTATTTTTTATTTTTTGTTAAGTAAAATAATATGCCTTTTTTTATGACAAAGTGTACAAATAAATACAAATAAACCATAATTTAATCTACGACTTAGATTACAAATTGATTTTTTTCATCAAACTTATTTAATATTTCAGTAAAATACTAGATACATGTTTTTAGTAAATCAAATAATCTTTATATAAATATTGTTATATTTATTTGAGTTTTTATGTTTATTAATTGTATGACCCTATGAGACCATAATGCCTATTCTGCTTGATAATGGGGAAATGAAACAACCTTATGATTGGGCGGTCAAGTTACAATTCTGCCAAACTTTGTTATTCTTAAACCGCTGTTCCATGTGATATCGTGTGCTGATAATCTGTAGATTTGATCTTTCTATGTTGATTTTTTCAGTGACCTAGCAAAAGTATGTGCCTTACAATTAGCAAACAAGTCGAGCATTGACTTTATCAAGTAGGATTGAATTTTTTTTAGCTGCTCGAGCTCGACTCGATAAGAAAATACAATGGCTCGAGCTCGACCCAAAATCGAAATGCTCGAGCTCGACCCAAAATCGAAATGCTCGAGCTCGATTCGAGTTCGGCTCGAAAATTTTTAAGTAGAAAAGTAAAATTACCATTAAGCACACGTGTTATACTATTTAAATATATATAAGGGGTATTTTTTTTAACAATTTAACATATATATCGAGCCGCTCGACAATGCATAATATCGACTCGAGCTCGACTCAAGTTCGTGCTAAAGGTAATAACCGTACCCCTCAGGGTGGATCCCATGTAGCCTACAGCTGCCTATGATACATCTGGAAGAATTCTGCCCAGCCTAAAAATCTCTGAAACTCCCTCTTATTCATTATAAATGTCGTTTTGACTTTTTTTATTCATCCATTTTGTTATGTATCTAGACATATTAATGTCTAGATACATAATAAAATGGATGAATCACAAAAGTCAAAACGACATTTATAATGAACAGGAGGTAGTACTATTTAACCACAAGAAATAACCGTACCTAATGACCAGATGATACTCTAGCTAGATGCATTCTTACACATAACCTACAACCCTAAAAATCATTAATTTATTATGAACAACAAAATAAAATTAAATAGAACTAAGTCGAACCTCCAACAGCTAGCTCTCCCATTCGGAAAAACTTTTATCAGTGTAACTTTTTTTGTTTTCTACGATCTGCATTGGAGTCATAAGTTTTGGTAGTATATATTCTATGAAGTTTTTCAAAATCACAATTAGCATTGTAGGTCTGGTTCCATCATTGCCTCTTGCTAACCCCTGCCAACGTTGTGACCATATTTTGGTGGCCGAGACGTATTGAGATTTTCGTGTTGTTTGGCATTTTGATGTAGAGCGTGGTAGATGACGTAAAAATTTCGATAAATCTTATGCATAAAACGTTCATCCCTCTCGAACTCGACATGCCGGCGGCAAGCGCCATCCTAACGCTTATAAGAGGCCGTAGTCGTCTCCAATCGAGCACTAGCCGAGGCATGGGTCTCCTGCAAATCCGAATGAGATCCGAAGCACGTCGGTCGACACCTGTGGAAGACGGCAACGCGACCAACTCCGAAGGACCGCGCGGTTGCGCGGCATAAACTACCTGGAAGGGCGAGAACACCGTAGCCCCGACTAACGGCGAAATTGTGATATTTAAATAGTTCAAAACAATGTCACAACTAGCTAGGGTTGATCTTTGGTCACGAGTATGTAAAATCGATTATTGAAACTATACAAACTTTAATATTGAAAATACTTTATTACCATAAATGTAACATAATCCAAGCTCCAAGAATAATTTTATGAAAATATGTTCAATGATATATATATATATATATATATCATTTTATTAAAATTTAAGTAAATTGGATGATAATGCATTACAACTTTTATTAATGTATGGTAAATCAAAATTCTTAGAACCGGACCATGATTGAACCGATCAAGTTATTTAATCAATACATTATTGGTTAGACCATGATTTAATTTATTAATATTAATTAATATTCATTTTATTTAAATGTGTATTTTTATTCATATTAAAAATAAATTTAAATGTTACAAAATTTATTTAAAAATCGTACAAATCCTACCAGTTCAAGCGACTAGTGTTGATCGTTTCACAAACAAAAATTTTATTTAAATAAACCGGATGGATCGATATATCGGTTCGCGGTCCACTCGGTCAGACTATTCGTTCCGGTCCGATTTTGAAAATATGAGTAAATCATGATTATTGGTATTTATAATTTTAACTATAATACAATTGTAGTATTTTTCATCGTGTATCGCACGGGTCACGTACTAGTTTTTGAAAGTATGATGATTAAATTGCATTTGAAACAAAAAGATATTTGGTGCAAAATTAAAATATGACAATTAAACTTAATTTTGATTTTTTTTTATATCAAACGACGCAATGCACCTTGGGTCGCTACGGAAACAGTCTCCTTGTATAATTACAAGGGTAAGGTCTGCGTACAACTGATCCCAGACCCCAATCCGTTGGGAATATACTGGGTATGTTGTTATATATTTTAGATCATGGTTTATTTAATTTAGACTTTTTAACACTTTTAAAAGTCTCGAGATCTTTAGTTGAGATTTTAAAAAGTCTTACAAGATTCTTAGATCGTATGCTCAAAACACACTATCAACACCTTATAATGTTATGCTTCATTAGCTATCGGCCGCACTACTCCACTTGATCAATTTTACGGCTAATTCGACCCTACCGATGATTGCAGTTAGTTGAATCGTACACGTTCACATTCAGTTCAAAGTTCAAACCTTCAGGCTTCAACTCATGATATAGGACCATAGGTTGATAACTCTGTACAATTTAAGTCATTTCACATTCTCTCGGTAGTGGTAAGTTCAGATATGTGCATTTTTTGTCAATGTCTTGAATGGTTTTATCATTTATGGAAGGAGTATCATATCAGACTCGGAAAATACTGAAATATAATAGCAGTCAATGACCATCATTGTTGAGCTTCAGCCTTGTTTAAACCTTAGGAGCAGACTCGGGTCAGCCACTCGGCCTTGTTAGACAGACAAACCCAATGATGGCCTAGTCGGCCGAAACATATTAACCAAAGGCAGAAGACACAAGGTAAATTTCTCTGGGGATTCTCATCAAGATCATAGAAAGCAGAATTGGCAAAATTTGAGCCACCCTGTAAAGAATAATGCTACCAAAAAAACTCGAAAAGTACCACCAATACCAAATTAATTACCAACAAAACAATGCTGGAAACAAAATTCAGAACTGCAAAATAACTTTAACCGCCCAAAAAAAAAATTGATTCAAATGAAAACATAATAAATATTTCAGAGTATTGCAGGCAACAGGAAGTAGAGATTACATCCAATTCCAAAAAGAACAAAGCAACTAAATCTAGAAACTACAAGAAAGGAGGAAGAGACACACACACACACACCAATACCATCATAGCCAGATCATACTTTATCCCGCCGAAAACTCACTCATTCTCCATATACCGCCTCCTCATCCTCCTCGTACTCATCTTCCTCATCTGCAGTCGCCTCTTGATACTGCTGATACTCTGCAACAAGGTCATTCATATTGCTCTCAGCCTCCGTGAACTCCATCTCATCCATACCTTCCCCTGTGTACCAATGCAAGAAAGCCTTCCTCCTAAACATAGCTGTAAACTGCTCACTCACCCTCCGAAACATCTCCTGGATCGAAGTCGAGTTCCCGATGAAAGTCGAAGCCATTTTGAGACCAGTTGGGGGAATGTCACAAACGGTCGACTTCACATTATTAGGAATCCACTCAACAAAGTAGGACGAGTTCTTGTTCTGCACGTTCAGCATCTGCTCGTCAACTTCCTTAGTGCTCATCTTCCCCCGGTAAATGGCTGAGGCTGTTAAGTAGCGGCCATGGCGCGGATCAGCTGCACACATCATGTTTTTGGCGTCCCACATTTGCTGGGTCAGCTCAGGGACAGTCAAGGCTCGGTATTGCTGGGACCCACGAGACGTGAGTGGGGCAAACCCAACCATGAAGAAGTGGAGTCGGGGGAAAGGGATCAAGTTGACCGCTAGCTTTCGGAGGTCGGAGTTGAGTTGACCGGGGAACCTCAGGCAGCACGTGACGCCGGACATGGTTGCAGAGATCAAATGGTTCAGGTCACCAACTGTTCAATAAATAATAAAAATAGTTAAATACTGCATCTTTTGTTACATATTTTCTACAAGGAAAGCAGAAAATATCCATAAACACATTTCAAAAAAAAAAATGATTCATTTGGTCAAATTTAAGCATTTTTTTGTGATGTTAGGAGCGGATTTGTTCCTGACTGAATATGATCGACATCAAGCCATTATGAAACCATTAATGGATATGGGCATTACTAGCTATATTATTCCATTGGAAATCACAGAAAACAAAAGCCTTTTGACAAGGGAAATTAATTTGAGGTGACTTACACAGCTGGGGAGTTGCGAGCTTAAGTGTCCAGAAGCAAATGTAGTAAAGGAAAGCACAACACAGCCACAAAAAACTCAAGAAAAATGATTCATCTGGTCAAATTTAAGCAACTTTTGTAATGTTGAGCGGATTTGTTTCTGACTAAATACGATCGTCATCCAGCCATTACGAACCATTAATGGATATGGCATTACTAGCTACATTCCATTGAAATCACAGCAAACAAAAGTCTTTGACAAGGGAAATTGATTTAAGGGGACTTACAGCTGGGAGTTGTTAGCTTAAGTGTTCTGAAGCAAATGTCGTAAAGGGCCTCATTGTCAAGAACCATGCACTCGTCAGCATTCTCCACGAGCTGATGCACGGACAATGTGGCGTTGTAAGGCTCCACGACTGTGTCGGAGACTTTTGGTGATGGGAACACAGAGAAAGTCAACATCATCCTGTCTGGATATTCTTCCCTTATTTTCGAGATCAATAGAGTCCCCATCCCGGACCCGGTGCCACCTCCCAAGGAATGACACACTTGGAAACCTGCATAACATTTTATAGATTATCCACTAAGAACGACAAGTGCATCATCATATATATTCTGTACAGAGAATGTAAGGATTGGATTACTTTTATATTTTTCACTTCAGACGAGATAAAACGGTATTTGCTATTCGCATATTGCTCTAAGGAAACTATAAATACAATTTCATAGTTAACAGGAACAACACAGCCATGGGGTTGGAAAAGATCCGGTTAATGGAAGCAATAGAAAGGGAAAAGATCAATTAAGTTATAAACAATTTCGAGGAATATGGCTATATGGATAATTGATTTATCGAAAACACAGATCCGCATAATACAAGTTCCGATAACAAATCAATTGTTGGAGAAACTATATATCAGCACAAACAAACACCATTCATCATCCGATACCCAAAAAAAAATTAAAAAAATGTAGAACTGGCAAATTATCAAATACCTTGCAGGCAATCACAATTCTCGGCTTCCTTCCTGACAACATCAAGCACCGAATCAATCAGCTCGGCACCCTCCGTATAATGCCCCTTGGCCCAGTTGTTCCCGGCCCCCGACTGCCCGAACACGAAATTATCGGGCCTGAAGATCTGCCCGTAGGGCCCAGATCGGATGCTGTCCATGGTCCCGGGCTCGAGATCCATGAGCACCGCACGGGGCACAAATCGGCCGCCGCCAGCTTCGTTGTAGTAGACGTTGACCCTCTCGAGCTGCAGATCTGAGTCCCCATGGTAGCGCCCGGTGGCGTCGATGCCGTGCTCGGCGCACACGACCTCCCAGAATTTGGAGCCGATCTGGTTTCCGCACTGGCCGCCCTGAATATGAAGAATCTCACGCATTTTCGTCGGAATTTTTTGACGATGTGTGTTCTCTCTCTTTTGGATTCTCTTGAATGGGTTGAAAGAGAGAGAAAATTGGAATGGAGAATGAGAAGCTTTGGTTGGGATTGGGGACGATGAGTATATATATATATATGTGTGTGTGTGTGCAGATGGTGGAGAGAGAAAGGGGGGATTGGAGTGAACGGCTGTAAAGTTGGAGTCTTTTGAAATTTGAAATTTGAAAGGAGAGCCTTTGGAATTAATGGCGGCTCAAGTGGAGGAGAGGAGTCCGAGATTTTAACGGGAGAACATCAACGGCTCTATTAAACTTTAGGTTTTAGTCATGCATATTATTGATGGCACTAATGCTCACGTATTCACGGTGGATACATGTTAATATGTCCACTGTTTATGTGGTATGTACACATTGGTGATATTAATAAGGGAGCATTACTGTTATTGATGGGTAGGCAAATATTTAGTTAATTAATTCTTTTTTTTATTTGTGCGGAATAATTATATATAGTATTTAATCATGTACAAATGGGCATTACTATTTACCGTCCCCTTTACTACTCACCGTCCCACCAATTACGTTTTTGCCCAATTACTACTCACCGTCCGGACACCCCATGGTGCGTCCGGAAGTTTCGTCCGGACGCGCAAAAAAAATAGAAAAAAAATAAAAATTATTTATAAAGTAAAAATATAGAAAGAAAATACATAGTCAATCTTCAATGTCTTGCCGATGTCATGGTACTTTTTTCGGATTTTTTCGAAATTTTTTTGACGGTCAAAAGAGTCGTAAATGGTCGAGAGGGAAAGAGTAGAGAGAGAAAGTAGAGAGATAGTATAAAGGGCAAAAACGTAATTAGGGACGGTGAGTAGTAAAAGGGGACGGTAAATAGCGATTCACTTTATTTAATGGACATCTCATTAGTAAATATAAATATAGATTTGGTTGTAGGATAAAGAAAAATGAAAACCGATCGAGAGAGTTCTGTTGAAAATCAAATCGCCATTGATAATGAGCTTCAAGCTCTTGAGGTTACAGAAAAAAGAGTTCAATCCCCTTAAACGTACTTAACATGCAAAATTCCATAATCCCCACTTACTAAGCAACACGTGTGAACTCACGTGTGTGGGAAAATAAAGCTAAAACAAAGCATTAAAGTGCTATACGATTTTTATAAGTGACTTACAACTCTTTCACTACTTAAAATGACAGAACAAAGAGAAAAAATATAAGCTGCATGTCTTCATGCATCAACCAAAACTCGATCCATAATCTGTAGCATATCAACAAGTCAACNNNCCCCCCTCAAGCGGGAATGTGACGGTTGACGTGCATTCCCAGCTTGAAGAGAAATCTTCGAAAATCAGGGCCTCCAAGGGCTTTGGTAAACAAATCTGCCGGTTGCAAGGAAGAGGAGATATGTCTGGGAGCAATGAAGCCTTCTTTAAACTGGTTTCTGACCACATGGCAATCAATATCTAGATGTTTTGTGCGCTCATGGAAGACTGGATTTGCTGTGATGTGGAGAGCCGCTCGATTATCACACCAAAGAGTGATTGGAGTAGAAACAGATAGATTGAGATCTTTAGCTAAGTAGGACAGCCATTGCAACTCACAGACTGTAGTTGCCATAGATCTGTACTCAGCTTCAACTGAAGAACGAGAAACAGTCTTCTGCTTTTTTGTTTTCCATGAAATTAATGAGTTCCCCAAGAAAACACAGTAGCCAGTCAAAGATTTCCTTGTAGCTGTGCAGCTTCCCCAATCAGCATCACAAAATGCTTCAAATGTAGTTGAAGGCAGGGCTGCATAGTATAGACCAAGAGTAGGACTTCCTTTCAAATATTTAACCAGGTGAACTGCTGCATTCCAATGAGCTTGTGAAGGAGCTTGTACAAATTGACTGAGCTGCTGAATGGCATAGGAAATGTCTGCTCTAGACAAATTCAAGTAGAGAAGTCTACCAATAAGTCCTGTAGGTCTCTGGTTTATCATACAAAGTTGATTCCAAGGAAGATAGGTTAATGCCAGCAGGTAAAGGAGTGATAGAGGCTTTTGAGTTCTCCAGACCCAAGTCATGAACCATGTCAAGAATATATTTCCTTTGACTGAGGTAAGTGCCTTCATTTGTTCTGAAAATCCCTAAGCCAAGGAAGTATTTTGCCTGCCCCAAGTCCTTGATGGTGAATAGATCATCAAGATATTGCTTAAGATGTTGTATGTCCTGCAAGCATGTGTCTGTAATCAACACATCATCTACATAGATGAGCAAAGCAAGGACTCCAGTTTTTGAATGTTTAAAGAACAAGCAGTGGTCATGTGATGATTGCTGAAAGCCAAAAGAAATGAGCTTTTCTGAAAACTCTATATTCCACTGCCTACTAGCTTGCTTCAATCCATATAGGCTTCTTTTGAGCAGACATACTTCTCCTGCCTTTGCTTTTGCATATCCTTTTGGTGGCTTCATGTAAACCTCCTCCTCCAAAAAACCATGAAGGAAAGCATTGTTAATATCAATATGATGTAGTTCCCACTTGTTTTGAGTAGCAAGGGCTATAAGTAATCTAACAGATACAAGTTTTGCAATAGGAGAGAAGCTATCTACAAAGTCAATCCCTTCTCTTTGTAGATATCCCTTTGCCACCAACCGGGCTTTGAACTTGTCAATGCTTCCATCAGGGTGTCTCTTGATTTTATATACCCATTTAGACCCTATTGCTCTCTTGCCATGTGGCAGTGTGGTCAAAATCCAAGTCTGGTTTGATTCTTGGGCTTGTAACTCCTTATGCATGGCTTGCACCCATCTCTGATCCTTAATAGCCTGTTCATAAAATGTAGGTTCTGAAGTGGTCTGACTTACCACAGAGAAAAAGGTGTTTATCTTTTTATCCTGAGGCAGTTCAGTGACATAATCAGCCATCCAACTTGGTGGTTTCCTTATTCTGTTGCTTTGTCTCTGTGGTTGAGTGTTTGGTGGTGTAGCAGTGGGTGTTGCAATAACTGGTGTGGCAGTAGGTGCAGCTGGTTCTTCAGTGTCATCATGAATAAGAATAACTGGCAAAGGTATGTTATGGGACTGCATAGCATTATGTGTTTGCAGTTGAGAAAAAGGAAATTTATCCTCATAGAAAATAACATCTCTGGTGATGGAAACCTCCTTAGTTTGAATGTTATAAACCCTGTATCCCTTTGTGCCTGACACATATCCCAAGAATACATAAGCTATTGCTCTTTCATCAAACTTCTTTCTGTGTGGATCAAGCTTATTTGCATAGCATAAGCACCCAAAGACTCTGAACATCCCATAAGTTGGTGTAACCCCATGCAGCAATTCAAATGGACATTTCCAACCAAGTCTTTCACTTGGCAAAGTATTAATGATCTGTACTGCAGCCATCAAACTATATGGCCAAAGAAATTTAGGCAGGTCAGCCTGAAATGAGAGTGATCTTGCCACTTCAAGTATGGATCTGTGTTTTCTTTCCACAACTCCATTTTGTTGTGGAGTATGAGGGCAAGTTCTCTGATGAAGCATACCATTTTCCCTCAGCAGGTTGTGCACTTCTCCATTAACAAATTCACTGCCATTATCAGTCCTTATCTGTTTGATATTCACATCAAACTGCACCTTAACCATTTTGATGAATGACCTCAGATGAGTAACTGTTTCAAATTTATACTTCATAAGGTATATCCAGGTGGCTCTAGTGAAATCATCCACAATTGTGAGCATGTAGGAGACATTTAATAAAGATTCTTCATTGTGTGGACCCCAGACATCTACATGAATAAGCTCAAACTTTCCTTTGGTGTGAATGCTGCTAGTGGGAAATGCCAGCCTTGGTTGCTTTGATCTGTGACATATGTCACATAAACCTAATTCCTCCTTAGAGCATGTACCCTTGACAAAAGGCAAATGTTTCAAACAATGCACTAAACTGTGTCCAAGTCTTTTATGCCATAAAGACAGTTCTTCATTGTTGTGTGTCTCTTCATCCACTGCATTAATATACACTCCTTCTGAGTCTATGACATATAGTCCTCCTATAGCTTTACCAACTGCAATAACAAGTCTCTCCTTTGTGTCTAGTAATTTGCATCCTGCATTTGTGAAACTGAAACACAACCCATTCTTTTCAACCAATTGACCCACAGAGAGGAGATTGTGTTTGAATTCTGGTATGAACAATACATCCTTGAGTACAATCTGATTGTTAAATCTGACCTCACCCACCTGAGTTACCTTCATTTTGGAGCCATCTGGTAGATTTACCAGAATAGGAGCTGGTATCTCTGATTTGTTGCACATTAGGTCCTCATCACAACAAATGTGCTTACTTGCACCTGTATCAATAACCCAACTTCCCTTAGCAGCTTTGCTTATCATGGAGAAGGCATAATCTTCCTCATCTTCAGACAATTTGGCAAAGTGTGAGTAAGTGTGCAGCTCTGAGTTGTGTCTCTTGGACAGATACTTAGCCACTTCCTTTTCAATGATAGATCCAATGTCAGATGATGAGTCACTGTGCTGAGATCTTGTCTCTGAATCTGCTTTAGTAGAGTCATCCTTTTCAGCCATGTTAACACTTTGGTGTTGTCTTTGCTCCTTTAGCTCCTTAAACCAATCTGGATAACCGTTTAATTTGAAACACCCTTGAATCTCATGTCCATTGTACCCACAGTGAGTACAGAAAAGTTTGGCTCTCTCTTCCTTTGACAACTTAGGGCCTCCTCTACCTTTTGGCACATTGTTAAACTGTTGTCCAAAGGTGTTTCTCCCTGCATTTCCTCTACCAAAGCCTTGTCCTCTCCCTGTTCCTCTTCCAAAGTTTCCTTTCACCATCATGGCTGAGTTCTCAAACTGATTCATGACAGCATTAATTCCTTTCTGTTTTTCAATCTTCAAGATCATGGAGTATGCCTTGTTTACAGTTGGTAAGGGATCAAACAACAAAATCTGGTTTTTGACTGGCTCAAACACTTCATTCAACCCCATGATGAA